CACTAAAAAGCATACTGAAAACGGACAGAAATGGATGAAAACGAATGAGATAAACTGAGCTAGTCTTTACGTGAAAAAACAAGAAAAAACGAATAGTAAGCTGAGGCAAAACCACAGTTAACCATTACATATGGTGAAACTAAAAAAAAATAACCTACCGAACGTACAGCTCAGGATAGATTCTTTGGGTCAGAAATGGTAGTTTTAATGCGCAAGAACACAGCAAACGTTTGATAACTGCAAATCACGTTGGGACTAAACTTTCCGTTCGAAAAGCGCGCTCAAGTGGTGTGGCTCGGCCATGCAGACGTGCTTCCTGCTGAATGTTACCTTATATCCTCTGTTCATATTAAATATATTGTTTTTTCTCTAGCCTAAGCTTGTTCTCTATCATGTATTGGTAATTGTTTAGATACGGTGAGTTGGTGTGTCGATGGTGTGACTTCCACGTAAGATCTTATAGGTGAGGCAGTTATATCATGACAAATCTACGGTTTTAGGATTAGGTCTATTATTAGCGCAGTACAAATATCATAGTAGACCATAATTCTACATAGTCATTCCTGGCGAAAGTACTTACTTCTCGTTATAATTTGACACTTATGTTGGCACTTGGATCAACCAGGATAATACGCACACACTAAACATGGTGGAGTATTTGTTCCATTATTGTCGATTTAGCCTCCCCTTGCTTTTCGGTAGAACACCTCCGACACTTCAATATTTAATAGGACCAGGGAGTTTCAGATACTTTCCGTCTACTTTGCTAAGCTTTTTTGTGACTGCTATGCTTCTACGATTATTTTTCGTAACAACACCACACTGCTCCATTTCAGTGTCCGCAAGTGACATTTATGACCTGTGAATTCGTAAGTGAATGTGCCAATCTGTGCGCATTGTGTCCCCCTCGGAGTTATGGTTTCTTTGGTCAAATTTCCGACAATTGTTGATGGGGCTGAGTACGGGAGGCTCCAGGGTACGTGGATTTTTATGTTTGATGAATTTTGTCGTTAGATTTTTTCTCATACTACGAGAATACGCACTTGGATAGTGGGCGTTGAGACACAGTATGAACCAATTGAACCGCTTGGATATTATGGTGTCACTACGTAAGTGAATCCAGTCACAATAGTAGCCGCCTTTCGATTCGGAGACGCTCGTTTCATTTAGTAGATGGTACACTATGCAGCCATCAATTTTGTGTCTTACTTCTTGGACGAACAGCGTTTCTGAGTATTTAGTCATGGGGCCCTCTCCCTTGCTATTCTTCCACTGCTTACATATGTCATTGGAGATAAAATCTTTGTCTGGGCGGGATCCTTTCTGCCTATTGAGGTATTAACGTTTGGTGTTTGATTGGTGTGATCAATACTGTGTACATAACCATGGGGTATTTTCGCAATAGTTTGGGGGATTTAAACTTGCTCATTGGGGGTTATTTATGGATCGTTGACTTGTTATCAACTCTTGCAGTAAGGTCCCGATCAGTAGTCTTTATTGTCGCACTGCAGGTACCCGGAGGTATACTAAGACCGCACGTCCCATCAAGCCGATTCACGCAGTTGCAGCAGTTGTTCCATAGATCCACTGTTTGCAAGTGACTGAACAGTTGAATGTTACAGTTGCGTCAGATATAGAGATGGCAGTTGGCTGAAATAATAAGTCTTATCACGTGGAGGTCCAGCCTTATTTTGACAGCATTCAGAGAGCATTCCACTGTGGTTGATCTTTCAGCAAAGCCAACTACAATTAGCATTTTCAGAGTAGTTGGATACTTCGAATGTGTTGTTAAAATCTGATGGCTTTTGCTTGCTATTGATTAGCATAAGAGTTCGCCACAGACCAACCTCAAATTGTTGCAACGATATGACAGTGAGAGCTATCAAAAGAAAGCTGGCCGTGACATACTTACTCTAATAGACTGTCAATCACGGAAGCCCGTTAAGCAAAAGCTTCTTTTATTCTATCTACAACCATCTGAACCATTTGAATCAATCTACTTTGTCTGCTTCGAAAAGACTGAAGTACACAGTTGGCGGGGTGAATAACCTTGGAACCGGCTTTGAGTTAGAGCGCATTTCAATGTTGACGTTCGAACCAATCAGTCGAATAGCTGTTGTAAGTATACTCTGTATATTTTAATGTGATTGCTTGTCAGAAAATAAATAAATTGTCATTTTTTGACTCATGAGGTAGTCATGAGTTTATTGTTCTAATGAGTCCACGTAACTTTACTTCATCTCAGAAAAATTTTCCAAAATACCCATCCATCAACGAATATTCCTTCGGTCGGTTTTATATGATGAAAACACTTATTAGGAGACCATATAAGTCCAAAAGATTCATAAAAGAGCTGATTTCTATACCTCTAGGAATAGGTTATGACCTTCGTTATTGATAAAGTCTGAATTATGTAGCACTTGTCCTCAGTGGGCGAACATGTCTTTTTCAATATGATTACATGGCGAGACTATAACTTTTGGACGAACCAACCAAATGCTGTCTACCTACTTGAATCAGCAGTCATTTTTTGGAAAAGTAAAAACATTATCCAATCAGTCCGAAAACTAACTATGGTTGCGTCTTCTCAGTTGTTAAAATACAACGATGAGTAAGTCCTTTCTCCAAGAATGATCACTTCATTAATTTGCCGAAGGAGACTAGCTTTACGTCTCGAAGGGCAACGATTAAACGGTCTTCAAACATCCGACTCAGATATGAGAAACCGTAGATGGTTAGTAATGTCCTAAGAAAACCATCGATGAACGGTCAATAACTGTCCAGCACAGTGATTTTTAGGGTTAGCAATCTAATATGTAGAAGTTCGGACAACCAAATTTACACAACACAACGGTGACTGTCGTTGTTGCGATTACCAGGCGTACATGCTACTATGGTAAATGGTATGTCTTGGTTTCTCCCGTCCGTCAAACCCAAAAAGTAATCAGGCCTCTCCACATAACGTCTATTAACTTCAGGAATCGAGGGGATCTGACCAAAACCGTTCAGATCTGATACTTCATCAGTATTGACGTACACTATCAGGTAATGTGTCATGAAAACTAGTCTAAATCGTTAAGCCATAGTCTAACCAACTAAACAAAATGAACCCTAGTGTCGGTTGACCTCGATCAACAACCCACTATCCAGGACATCGAGAGCACAACAGCACAAGCTGAACTTGCAGATGAAATAATGTACCAACCTGCCCTAGACTAAGATCTGTTGGGAATGCCGCGAGTGCTGTGAATCTACCATCTTGACTCATCTCAACAGTCAATGGCTTAATGGACTGATACCACGTTTTGTTTAAACTTGAAATTGAATGACTGGCCATCACTTTCTTTTTTTCAGCTAATTGTCGTCTGTCGGTTTAGGAAGTGGTCCGACTTATGCAGTGTTCGTACCTCGTTAATCGATTCCTCAGTTTACCTAGTACCCTGTTTCTGACAGCAGGATTATTAACTTAGTCTTTCTTCGAGATGCGAGCAGCACTTCAAAGACAGCCATGATAAAAGCATGCAGCCTACAGATGTCTTATACTTTCATAGACAGTTTCAGTCATAGAGTGATATAAAGCGGACTGGTGCACAGTATACTCGCTTCTTGACTGAAAACCGATATCTCACTAGTATTAAAATCTAACTATCTAATATTGAAGTAGATGGGATGTTATTATAGCCTAAAACCTTTTGATTTAAAACTGAGTACTTCAGTCTCCCGCTTAAGTTGGTTTGTACGAATTCATCGACTGGTTTCGTTTGCACTCATTCTTTTTAGTTTCACTGCAAACAATGTCTTATATCACGTCGGATTACCTTTCAGCATATATAACGCATACTCTTATCGTCTTGTTCAGTGCATATTTTCATTGAACGTTTGATGTGATTTATCCATTTACCGCCATAGTTATATATGTAGGAGAATGTATCATATTTCTTCGTATTAACTTAGCAAGTTTGTTAAATAGCTGCTTGTTCACTGTGACCTTATGTAAATGTTATGGCCTTGGATATCTGGTTTTTCTATCGCACAATTTATCTACCAATCCGAATACGACTTATACGAATCTTCACACTAGGCCAACCAATGACGTTCAACCGGTGTGGGCAGTTTAGCGTCCTTATTGGTCCTATGTCCTACGAGCCCTTCCACTTGGGTCCAGAACAAGATACCAGCTTCCGAATCAGAGCAGATCGTTTATTTCAGGCATACTTGGATTATATATCAATCACACAGACCGCAACGTACCATAAAATAGGGAATAATATTTGTACACAAATAAGCCCCAAAAGTGGCTGTGAATGTGGGAGGCAGTAGTTAATAAACTGAACATAACTTGAGAACCGTAAATCGTACAATAGTAAATTTCAATGTAAAATAATTATTCAGTCTTACAGGTATTGTGCTGCTAAACATTGACAAATTATTTAAGATTACTAACCGATTCAAATCATTATAAGCAGAGATGAGTAAAGGTCAGCAGTGTAATCCAGGAATCACGTTTCGTCCCATTTAAGACTCGTCGTCTAGATGTACCTGAATTCCAGCATGGGATTCAACTATGGGATCCAGGTACATCCAGCTGATGAAACCTAAATAGGACGAAACTCAAGTACTGGATTACACTGCTAGCCACCATTCATCTCTGCTTATAATGCTTGCGACTCAGAGCAATTTCGAGGCAATTCACATATGTCAATAACAGACTGATCGATTGCAGCCCTCAACTTTATTTAAAAAAGTGCAAACTACCAATACAAATGATTCAAGTTATGTTAGATCTTTCTGTAATTTTTTTTATCGATATATCAAAATTTTAGCATTACTTTCACTTGATCCTCCTTTCTGTTTTTCAGGTCAAATGTTTGGGACCACGTTTAGTTTTATTCTTTAAAACATTTGCTTTATTCTATGTTCTTTATCCGAAATATGAGTCGACTGTGGGTTATTGTGTTTTCAAATGTGCACCTATTTTATCACTTGTTGCATTTGTTTATATGTATGGGGTTAAGATACCAAACAATCAAGCCTATTCTTTAAAAATTTTTCTTGGTCTTCTATTCTCTTGTTTAGGCGATGCATTTTTGGTATGGCCTAGTCTTCTTATTCCTGGCACGGCTATGTTTGCCATTACACATATATTATACATTTACGCATTTGGTTTTCAACGTTTAAAACTATCTATATTGTTCATTTTACTGCCAATACTTCTCTGTGTATGTGTTTCTGTAAAAGAAGGACTAGACGGTATCAATACACTTGTTATTCCAGCTTATGGATTAATATTAGTAATTATGGTATGGCGTGCATTAGCCCGATTAACTAAACATGAATATTCTATACCATGGACATGTATAGCTTCTGCCGTTGGTGGATTACTATTTGGTGTATCTGATACTATATTGGGAATTTGTTTATTCTCTAGTGATATATCGTCATTTAAATGTAATTTAATTTTACCAACGTATTATGCTGGTCAGTTGTTGATTTCTGTATCTGTTGTTGATAGCCATTTAACATCAATAAAAACGAGTCCATATCATGAAGATAAAAAGCAGTAGTAGTTGCGTTCTTTTATTAAATAAAAAGCCTTTTCTTCCATCACCTGTTTATTTTCTCTGCTTTTTGACATATATTTGTCTTCATTACTTCTTTGTACTTTTTAGCTTGCTTATTATTTCACGATGTGTTCATATTGTTGTTCATAGTTGATGATAAATAAATAAACGCTTATTTTTGCATCTGTTATCTTGTTTTATTACATACCTGTCTATGTATGGCATTGTTTCTTGTTAACTAAATCATACTTCAATCAGATGTGGTAGGTAGTATAAAGGGAGTAAATTTTCAAAATAATCATACAATAAAATACTACACGGTATCAAATTTAATTTGAAGTTTTCTTTAATTGGGGAGATTTTGTCATAGTATATTTTCAGGTTTCGGTCAGCAATAGAGTCAAGGATGCATGTTTGGTCCTATTTAGGACTTGACAACTAGACGTTCATGCATCATATCAGAGCTATAACCTAGTATTTATCGCTGCGATGCGGATTCATACATTTGATAACTCCTTAGTAATATGAAATACGCCTCTTGAATTTTGGTGCCCATCATAATTCAAGAATTTACCAAAAATATCCATTTCTAAGCAATATCGATGCATCTATTGAGGATGTTTATGTGTCCACAGAGGCTGTGTTGAATATCAACAACCGGAAAATACAAACTCTTTCAGATAGCCGATTATGGTTTGATACAGCTCTTAGTGCTTCACTTTCTAATAAGACTATTCAGAGGGCTAGTATCCGTAAAATATACCATTCAATAATTTGTTTTTCATTGATAACGGATTATCAGCACTACTTTCTTCGAAATAAAGTAGTTGTTAGATTACTTGCCATATCAAAAGGTGTGGCTACAATTGATGTTCACTTCTGCATTCTGTAAATATTAATCATAGGTTTATCTTTGACGTGTGGTTAAGTTACGACTGAATTTATGCTTTTACTTTTGTATCAGACTTCGTAGTTCTCTGTAAAACAAAACTCAATGTACAGAAGAAATCGGCGCCTGTCTCAATTCTTCTGAGGCACGAAAAGTTCTAGAGAGAATACCATCTCGTTTATCCTTCCCATCCTATCCGACCGATACTTATGGGCTAATAAAAGTATTAGGATTTCATGTCTTCCTTTTATCAAGTTTTATGACTTTAGTGTTATAATTCCGGTTACCTTTGGGGTTAGTGGTTCGGTTCCTATAGTTTGTGGGTTTCTATCATTATTTCCTTATACAAATAGCGAAGGTATTGAAGGAATAAATGTTTGCAATCGTATGACTCGTTTTATTAGCGCTTTCCTTAGAGAAGCAAAATTGTTTGACAAAGTTTGCAGTTTATCTCTGCCTTTTTCCTCAATTTAGGACAAATAATATTTTATGAAGAAAGAGACACTTTAAAACTTGTTTGCATTTGAAGAATATTCTTTTAAGATGAAATCAATTCAATCGGGGTCCATGCACAGACGCAGTGATCGTTTGTTTCCTATTCATCCGCATAATTTGAATAAAGTTATACAAGATGAATGGAATAGTATTATGCAATGGTTATGTGATGTTTTATCATCTGGTGATATCATGTGTGAAATTAATCCAGTATTTACTACTATTCAAAGGTTAGTTATGTCGATACTATTACATTTAATAATCATTTTATCAATCTGGTTCTTAATCCACAGTGTATATTTGGAAACGTTTCGAGGAAGAGTATGTATTTTGATCGTTAATAACCTAATTTCATTCGCTTGTACATGAAATATTTAATTGTGAAATAGATCACTTTTTAGTGAGATAATTCAAAAGGACTTAATTTGCTGAGAAGCGATACAAATTTATGTTATGTGATAGCCACCTCAAATTAAATTTACACAACAACAATCTAGACATTGGGGTGGTAGTTTAGTAGTTGGGCCACTCGGCTTCCAACCAGTAAGTTTCGGGTCCTAACTTCTTTCCATCTACTTCAGTTTGGGCATCCGAGTAGTGTCTCTACCACCCATGCATCCAAAGTATCGCTTAAAACTGAGCAAACAAACATGTACTTGGTAATTAAGCTACAATAAGGTAGATCATAGATCTAAACTTAACTCTTCTATGTCAGTCTGAAGGACACACATTAGTACAGAAATACTTTGCAGAATCGAATTTACAGATTAGTCGATATGACCACACTGATAAGTTTCCCGATAACCCATTCAAATCGAATAGATTTTCTAAAACAGAGTCACTAAATGACTGAATTTATCACTAGAGAATGTATTATGTTATCTTTATACGAGATATTCAGCTAACGGAGTATGCTTTAACAATGATTAATGGGAGGAAGCCGAAAAAAAACCGATCAACCTTTAGTACCGCATCCATTGTATTACCTATGAATATACATTATTGTTTAGATTGTGCAATCATTCTAATGTTTATTCATAATCAATGAAATGTCCTTTTTTATCGCTATCCCTCTAGATTTATCAATATATTTGGAATGCGTTTATCCAAAACACAGCGCATTGCTTTAATTCGTCTAACTGTAGCTTATATATGTTGTCCAAATATTGATACGCAGGTTATATTCAATGCGTTAGAGCTTTTAAACAAGTTGATGAGGTATGAGTATATATGTGTATGTGCATTTACTCAAATACTTAATGTTTCAATCACTTTGCATTTTTATTCAGTCGTAGGTATAGATGATTAACTTATAATTAGTGAGTTTTTAATTCTGTGCATTACAGATATTGCTTATAATATAGAGTTAGTCGCTCTGTCGTAGGCAACTTCGAACGTGGCATGAATCCGTAACTATTCAGGCTATAACATATCACATCGTTATAGCGATGTAAAAAAATCGATAAAACGAGAAAAAGGTGGATATTAAAAGAACATAATTCTAAAGAAACAGACACGATCGAAGAATAACTTCAAGATTTAGGTGTAAACAGATGATAAATTACACTAAGTCTCTGTAACTGGTTTTTAGCCCTTATCTCCTAAGTTCTTTAATCATAGATTGTGATTATGGTGCCATCTCTAACCTGAAAGTTTGCACTTCCTGAAACCATAGATCAGCAAAAATAACTTCAAGGATTGATACGATATCTTGGTTTGATCTCTGTTGGTTTCCAATCTAGCCACAATTGCACGTCAAGGTAGGCCATTGTTAGTCATGCTTAACGTATGTCTCAATTATCCGTTTTGATGAGGGTTTAACCGACTTACTTTTTCTTCTTAAACCATAAGAATACCTCGGCATTACTCACCTGGTGCTTCCACCATATGCAAGTAATGTTTCTTATACACTTATGATTGGATGCTTAGAACGAACTAATGTATCATAGTTTCACAGTTGTGAAATAACGCATAGCGCATACACTTCAGTATCATTGCTTTTAAATATGCAGACAGACATCTCATACTACATTTGTAGTGTTTATAAATTAATATTTAATTGTTTATTATGTATAATTTTTTCATTTGACTCTTTTGTGCAGTAAATCATATTCTCTACTATCATCAACCTTGTCTATTAACTGGAAAAACTTCTTTGATATGCGAGAATGGATTGATGATGCGTGGCAAGCGAATTCTCACTTAATTCAACTGTCTAAGTAAGTTATAGTAATTATTATTTTTTCACTCAACCATGATGCTATCAGAATGACTAATTTATTACTACTTAATTGGAAGAACACATAGACCAACTAAATGATTACTACAGACGAGAGAACACTGGGAATCCATTAGTTACTATTGGTTCAGAGCTTTATTACCAATACATAATCTTGACTTTTTTAGTATTAAACGCAAAACGTTTATTTCCAATGGTAAGCTTAATGTATTTTTGAATTAATTTCCAACGGTTTTATGAAGTACCTAAATAATGCACCTGCTGTTGAGAACTTTCTGTTTTCTTGTTCACCTTCACTGACGATAGTTCGTTGTTTATGCATAATTATATCCTATTGCATCAATTACGGTTACTTTTTCTAGAATACTCTCCAATATCTTTATTTTGGGATTTTAATTCTTGACAGCTTACTGTTGGCATGATGATATGTGTGTTTTTTATCTTTGATTTTGACTATCTACTAATACTTGGGGCGTTGCGTTAGATTTTTGCTTCTAGGTTTGAATAGTCCCAATGAAATATTTTGCACGATGAAAGGGAGTTTTATTTTCTAAGATATTGTTATAAAAAAGTGGTAAAAATTAATAGAACGGATCAATGATCCATTGTTTGCTTGGTTTTGACTATTGTTATGCTATGGAACAGGTAAATCACTCAGCTTTCTACCGGGTTATTGCAGGTTCAATCCTCTCTCCGCCTATTTTAGTTTGCGCAACCAGGTAGTATCACTTGTCCTCCCATACAAGTAAAATATATCTGAAAGCTGAGTACATAAATCTTTACTTAGTACATAAGCAAATTATTCGTTAATCATGCAAATTACTTAAATGGAAGATAACGTTGGATTTTAATGAATGATGAGCTCTCTTACATAGTGTCAACATAATGCAACGACACAATGTTTCCTGATTTTCAACTGTTTACAAGACAGATTTATTGATACAAACAATCAAATAAATCAGTATCAAAAGAGATCTGATCAATAGAATAGGTCTTTTAGTCTAGTTTTGATCACAAAAGTAAACATAATTAGTTACGTCATTTAACAAATAAACGATTAAGTAGTAATAGTTTTGTAGACTATTCACATCTCAATTAAAAATCTCCTGTTGAGCTGATTATTTTTTTGTAAATTAAAAAGAAGTCAATTGTACTTATCGAAATCTAGCAATTTCAAATTTACACAGTTTTATTATTGAATGTTGTTTATCCTTTCTTCATTGTTATAGGATATGATAAACATGTATTTATAATAATGGATAAATAAACACATGATTTATAATAAATATAATAACAAATTAATAAATATACATTTTATTTTGTTTATCACAAATATTCAATCGAATTTATACACATATAACTTAATAAATATCGTGTTTC